CGCTTTTCTTCGTAAAGCGTGCTCGTTTCGCCGTCGTCTGCAATCCTGCGCTCTCGCGCTGCCCTGTCTCCGGCCCAGCCACCTCCGGAGGTTCTTCTGCCCCCTGGGAAGGCGTTTTCCCGCGGGAATCCTCTTCGGCGCGCGCCCACGCCGGCCTGTAACAGGTGCTGCTGATGTCCGCGCCTGTCTCGTTGTATAATTCAAGGATTACTGCCCCGTCCTCAGCGGTGACATCGCCCTCACGTGGCCATCGGCCCAGCACCGGGCCGCCCCCCTGGATCTCCTCTCGGGAAAACAAAAGGTCATAGCCCCCGCGTGGCCCGACGTGCCCGTCAAAGCGGGAGTACGTGCGCAGGATAACTCGGTCTGGCAGCGCCACTCTTTGCGTGCCGTGGCGCGCCAACGCAAACCTCACGATCTCGCCTGCATGAACGGCAACGCTTAGCTCTCCACCGTGCGAAGCCAGATTCAACCACGCATCCTCGACGTCCCGCAAATACCCCACGCACGCTTCACATGCGACGCGACGCTCCTCAGCGGACGCCAGGGCATGGCCACACCACCCGGCGTTCGACACAAGCTGGAATATACTGTCCGCTAGGCTGGCGTTCACTCCGTGCGCAAACGATGCACCCACACAGCGGCCATCTCGTGTCATCTCGGCTCTGCGTTCCTCGTCCGTCTTCGCCTCGAACACCACTTCCCCCATTAGGAATTTCATGAACTTGCACGTCCTTTCTTCCACGACGCGGCACCTATCTTCTGCGTCGGAGGCGTCTGCCAGAGCGTCCCGTAACTCCTCCCATCCTTGCCAGGCACGCACCCACGTTTCTTGCATGACTCGCAGGAGCGCTTCCGTGTCGCCCCACGCTTTCCAAAGATGAGCGCGCAACTCTCCCGGCACGAACTCCAGTCCGGGAACGTCCCACGCATCCGGCTTTTCGCACGGACTCAACAACAAACGCAGCGCGCGGATATCCGCCTCCCTGATGACCCGCACTGGTGCCACGAGATCACAGGGCAGGATGTGCACCGCTGGAGCGCGACCTTTCCGGGCGGCGACGCCCTGCATGACCAGCTCCGCAGGACGCTTCTCCTTCGACGTCGCCGACGAAGGTCCCTCCAGGTCGACCACGCCGCGTTTCAATGCCGCTGCCTCACCAACGCTTGACGAGCCCGAACGCGCTGCGCTCGTGGCCGCCCCTGACCTGAAACCATCGCCACCCGCAACCGACCCCGCCCCGCGCACTCTCTCCGGCTCGGGCACCGACGCCTCGCGCGCGTACATCAGTATGTGCACCGACGAGTCGGCAGCAGTCTTCCATCCACGCGCGTCAGACGGCGGCTCGCTCGGCCATACTTCGCCGTCGTCACGCATTTCCCACCGCGCTCTGCCGCCATGCGATGTCCGGCAGCACGCGTTATAGTGCCCCGTGTGAAATCCTTCTCCGTGGTGGAACACGCAGCTCAGCAGCGCGTACTGCTCCCCACAGAGGACTAACTCCTCACTAGGCACGACATCATGCGGAACCTTCATCACTCTCTCGGACGCTGCATCGTACTCCTGCGCGACTATCTGGATCCACAAACACTGCGGCGCCCGCGTCAGCTGCCACTCCTTTCTCGCTGCGCGACAGCCGCATCCTGTTGGACACGACCACCTGCGATCTGCTTCCATCCTCCCCCCGCCACTGCTTCTGTCCACGGCCTCTTGCACTGTTCTCACCCGACCGCCGTGTCCCCGTGGTATCTGCACCATCAAACACGTCAAGTCTCTGTCCCCCTGGATCACCGTCGCACCGTCACACTCTTCCCGAATACACACAAGTCGCTCCACTTTCTCCATCCGGAACAGCTCACTCACAACGGGCGCCCGCTTATCATTCAATACCTCTTGCAAAAAATCCCCTGCGTCTTCCTGAGTCTGATCATAGAAAACGCGCGGCATTGCGTCCAGTAGGATGGGCCTCCGCCCAACACTGCACTGCATTTCCCACAGCGTCTGTGCCAATAGTGCGTCGAAATCTGGCGCCCTGCCTGACCTCTGCTGTGCCCCGCGGCGCTCCGCAAACAGCCATCCAGCCCGATCAGCGGGGCTGCCTCGTCGCAACGTGCGCAACGCCAGTCGCGCTTTTGGGAGGGCGAAGAGTGCTTGCAGTGGTGCGTTCATGAAGCAATACCACTTGGGGTTGCGTAGACCTGGAAGCGCGGGCATTACCGCGTCCACGCGGGTGCGCTGGCTCTCTCCGCCCAAGCTTGCGTTAACCTCTTGTGCGGTGTTGCCCCGCAACACCGCGACCGCCGGCAGCAACCCGCAACCACGGAGCATTCCCGCGCGTTCCTTCCTCACCGTCCAAGCCGCGCCATCCTTGAGCCACGCGCACCAGATGACCGTCCGAGAACCACACGGCCGCGCCTACACAACTCCCTTCTACATCGCCCAGCGGCCATTTCGCGAGCGGAGTCCTTTGCATGAAGTGCGCCACACTTTCCGCCTCGTACACCCAGACGTACGTCTGGTGGCAACGTAACCATGCTTCAGCGGCCAACATATTTTTCTCGCATCTGGATCCCCCATGCTCTCCCCAGAAACCACGCGATTGGCGCAACGTCGTTCAAAACTTTTGAAAGCGTCCCTTCGCCATCGTCCTCGACGCATCTTCGCTATTGCAATTTGGACGCACTTATTCTCAAAGCGCCCCAGAGTCTCCACGTCCTCTGCCAACACGCGGACTTCTGTACACAAAACAGGCGACACGTACATGGCCCACGCGACGGCCACCCGCAACATCCCATGGCCAACAGCCTTCGCGCCCTCCATGTCCGGGCGGCTTCTTCGGCGGTGCATTCCTGATTTCCGGTTCAGGCCAATGCCCAGCGAACGACGCGCGCGGGCTGTGCGAGCGCGCCCCCCACGGCGAGCTTCGCGTGCTGACGCCCATGTCGCCAGACGCCGCAACCCAGACGGATTCGAAACATGCCCGAGCCCAACAAACAGGATCGTGCGCAACGCGTCGAAGAACGAAGCGTCGACGACGTGTGCAGTCTGCCTTCCTGCCGAATTGTTCCGGCTTGGTGATTTCATCACCGTCGTGCACGTGCTTCGCTTCTGGGCATCACACGTCCGCGCTGCGCGGCTCCGACAATCACAGGCGCTGCCTCCTTTCCTAGCGACACTATGACGTCCATGGCGCGCAGAGCCGGAGAGACGACGGCAGTTCAAAGCGCCGCTCCATTTACACCCTTTGCCAAACCTACGACGCCGAGCACGGCGATCGCGAGCAGGTCCAATCGAAAAACCACGGCATATAACATTACCACAAACACGTCCGCCAACACAGCCCAGAGTTCTCGAAGAACAGCGCTTTGGATGCGCTTTCCCAGAAAAACGGCGGCGGCAGCGAACATTACGCCCACCCCTACGACAGCGGACACCGACGACACCGCGACGTGAACGCCTGACACCGCGCCACTGACCGGCAGCATCACCACGCCGAGAACCACCGCGCCGAATAGACAATGCCACAATTGGCGAGCGTTTGCACCTTCTACGACAACACAAACCGACAACATAACCACGACGAGAACCGCCGCGCCGAAAAAGGACGCCGCGTCAGTGACCGGCAGCATACTCACAACGACAGCCACCACGCCGAAACGGCAATGTCACAATTTGCGAGCGTTCCGCCCTTCTACGGCAACACTGACCGCGGACGTTACCGCGACGAGACCCGCCGCGCCGAAACGGCCCACCGCGCCACTGACCGGCGACAGAACCACAACGAAAACCACCGCTCCGGAATGGTAATCTCAAAAATTGAAAGCGTTGCTTCCGCGATGCGCTCAAAGAGTCAGTGCACATGCTCAGTGGGCCCAGCCCACATGGGATTCGGCCCCCAGTGGCCCGCGGTTTTGAGGAAAAACCGGTAAACCCTCGGCTGCTACCTGGACTTACCCCCGAAGGGCGCCAAGCAGAATAGTGCCAGCCGGTCAGCACCGCGGCTGTTGAAGTACAACCGGTAAAACTTTCATCGCGGCCCGCCCGTGCCAGCATTGGATTGCCGGGCATATCAGAAGGCCCACCCCGCCGAAGGGCTTGAGCCCCTCCCCGTCACGTTGGGGAGCTGATGTGCCCAGACCGCCGCCAACACCGACGAAGATCCCGCCGGGGATTGCCCCACCCTTGGCGAGGGGCCCGTTTGCAGCCACTCAAGGCTTGAGCCTGAAGCGCGCGGCGTCGCTGATGCTCGCAACCCTGCAATGATTGTCACCGCGCCGCCCTCCTCTTCATTTTGTGGAAACCCAACTCTTACCTTCCTCTCGCGCCCAGAGCTTGACGGATATATTCCGTGTATTTCAGTTCATCCCCCCTGCCCCCTCCCCGACAGAGAGACGCCCTACGGGGCCCGAAAACACGCCCAGACAACCCAGGAACTCCCAAGGCAACCCAAGAGACCCCCCCCCCCCACGGCCCCAAAAAGGACCCGGATAGCTGTGCGAGAGGAGGGGCGGGACGAGGAGGACGAGGAGCAGGACGGGCAGGAGCCAGCAGGGAAGCGGCAGGAATAGCAAGGAGGGGAGGGAAGAGGAGAAAGAGGATCATGTTCGAGGCTCGACGTCTGATGTTCCATGTTTGCGGACTCCACAGATGCCTTCAGCTCGACGCTGGTTCCGTCGACGACGTGTCGACAGAAGCCAGCTGACACTCTCGCGTGTACCTCCTGACTGCTGTGGATTTTTACACACAGAACCCCGACGACTTGCTAAATCGCTCGGGGCGTGTTGCCGCACCCGTGTTGGGTATATTTCTTGAACTCGATTGAGGCAGGGATGGAGGGTGAGCATGATGAGAATGATTGCGGTAATGATGGGATGGGAATGATAAGTGGAACATATGAGAACTGCTGGAGGATCCCCTGGTCTTCCCGGGATGATTCCCATGCAAGGTGCATATCTTAATCTCGATTTATGCAAAGATGGGGGGCGACGATAATGAGGAGGATGGGGATGCTGATGGGGATGGAGATGATGAGCGGGCAACTGCCGGCGGACGCCCGTGTCGGCGTTTCCGTCGAGGTCGCATGCCTCAGCACGGTGGCAATCACGCAAAGCTGCGCGGCCCCGCCAAGATGCGCCGCCAGACGACGGCGTCATTTCCGGGGCCATCAGGAACCAAATCGAGGACAGGCTGGTCGCGGCACAGGGGTTGCGAGAAGAGCATTCACAGAGTTCATTCGGTGCGATCCTGACGACGGATGCGAGGTGGACGACTGTGCCAGGGACGACGGGGACAAAGACGAGCACGACGACGACGACGACGGACGGCGTCGGTAACGCGTTCCAAGAACCCGCGCGCGGTCATATGCCTCAGCGCGGGCCCTGGACAAAGCTCGTCGCGAGCAACTCACGATAACATGCCGTGACGGCGCCAAATGCCGAGGTCTAATCGCACGACTATTACAAAGGCGCATCAAATGCACCTGCCGTGCTGTCACCCACATCTACACGAAGACGTACGCCTCAGCGCAGAGATCTATCCCGCGCCGACAATCCGGACGAAGAGGTCCGCGAATGCAGCTGGGCCTCCTGCCTCTCTTCGTCCACCTCCCTCCTCCTCCTCAGAATGGCCAAGCGCACCGGAAACTCACTGCGCTCACTCAGAATCCGCTAGCCCCAGTGGGGCACGATTGCTTCATTGCGTCTCACGCGCGCACCTGACCCGGGGAAACTCCGAGAGAGAAAGTGAATCGCTGGGCGTGGAGGCGAACGGATCGACCCGGCGAGATCCACGACGGCCGAATGCGACTCACGCTACGATATTTCCCTGGGGGTGGCGGAGCTGGAACACCTCTCTAATCGTCCTCGTCTACGGCCTCCCGCTTCCGCTTCTTCATGCCCGAGGTCGATAAACCTGAGCTCGTCACTGCAGTCGACTTCGCTGCGATGCTGGCGAGACGCTGCGCGAGCTTGGCCTGCCCATTGGCCGCCAACCGAGCAACTTCGGTCCCGAACTGCACCGCTTGGGCCGCCGTCGCCATGTTCTGTTCCTTGGCCTCCATCACCTTTTTGCACGACGTGTCATGGGCAACCCTCCTGTTGTGGTCCTCCGTGGTCAGCACTTCCACCTCCCCTCCAATGGCCGCAACGGTGCGGCGACACGCGTCCGCCGCCGCAGCGTCGGTGAGCAGCACGTAAAGGCGCTCCCCCTCAGGCACCACTTTCTGCGCGGCGTCGGCCGCCGCGCGCTCTGGCGTGGGGTCGTTGAGCAGCAAGTTCTCCAGGAACATGTACGCACTCCGACGCGCGCTTGCCTGCGCCCGCAAACCTGTGGGCAAGGTCACTCGGATGGAGGTCATGCGGCTCGCCGACGAGGGCCCAGGAGAGACGCGCCCGGAGCGTTGCGCACTCGAGCCGAAAAGCTCCAGAGCTCCCTAGACGGCCCGCCGGGCCCGTCTGATTGGATCTTCGCGGCCTCCGGGATCCAATCATAACCACTCCCAAAGACTGCAAAAGACACCCAGATCGAAATGACCCCAGAGAGGGCCCCCCCCCCGTCGGCCAGGTGCTACCCAGCCCAAGAGAGATCCGGGACAGAGGGGCACGGCACGGCAAAAAAACAGGGAGCGCGCGACCTGGCACGGCAGTGCTTCGGGGGAACAGAGCGGGATGTGGGATGAGGCCACGCCCAATGGAGTTGTCATTTCTGAGGGGCTCTGAAGTAACATGACCCCCCCTCCCGCAGCCCGGGGGCTGCCCAGCCCAACAGGGCCCCGAGCAGACGCGGCACGGCACGGCACAGCACCGAGAGGGGCAGCGCACGACATAGCACGGGACCGCTCCGGGGAAAAAGAACGGAATGTGGGATGAGGCCACGCCTAATGGAGATATTATTTCTGAGGGGCTCTGAAACGACATTATCACCCTCCGGCCACCTTGGGCTGCCTGGCCCAAGTGGGATCAGGGCCGACGTGGCACGGGCACGGCACCACCGAAAGGGGGAGCGCGCGATCTGGCACGGCATCGCTTCGAGGAAAAAGACGGGACGTGGGATGAGGCCACGCCCAGGGGAGATGTTACTTCTGCGAGGGTGACACCAATCTTGCCTGACGGTCCGAGATCCGAGCACGCCCTGCATTCACCATCACCACCGCCAACAACACCATCATCAACGTCGTCGTCGTCGTCGTCGCCGGCGCCGTCGTCGTCAGTGTCGTCCGCGTCGTCGTCGTGGTCGTCGACGTCGGCGTATCGGACTTCCGTATATCACTACAACGCACGCTACACGATGTTCCCCTTTCCCTGGAAACACTGAAGACCCACGAAACACCGTGCGAACAGACTCCCCTCCCCCAGGATATCCTGGCAGCACCACAAACACAGATTCCCCTAACCGGACTGTCTTATACAACTGAAAACCCCACCGCGTCATCTCCGAGAGGGGGGGCACCAACGAGGACCACCAAGACGACGACGATCACGATACTCGCTCCCTCGCCAGGCCCGCACGTTTTGAAAACCACGCCCGTGTACGCGTTTCCGTCGAGGTCGTATGCCTCAGCACGGTGGCAATCACGCACAGCTGTACAGCCCCGCCAAGATGCGCCGCCAGCCGGCGGTGTCATGTCAGGGGCCTTCAGGAACCACATCGAGGACAGGCTGGTCGAGGCACAGGGGCTGCGACAAGAGTATGCACAGAGCCCAGAGATCATTCGGTGCGATCCCGACGGCAGATACGGGGTGGGCGACTGTGCTGGCGACGACGGGGACAAAGACGAGAACGACGACGACGACGACGACGGACGGCGTCGGTGACGCTTTCCAAAAACCCACGCGCGGTCATATGCCTCAGCGCGGACTCTGGACAAAGCTCACCGCCAGCAACCCACGGTATAACATGCCGTGACGGCGCCTGATGCCGAGGACGAATTACACTACTATTACAAAGGCGCAGACAATGCACCTGCCGTGCTGTCACCTGTATCTACACGTCTTAAAATTCCGATCCTACCGCTCCCACGACCGTCCCAAGACGAAGACCTGTTTCCTCGCCCGCTTCGGGCGACGGCGCGTGTCTTGGTGCAGAAATCTGCAATTCTGCCCGAATTTGCAGCCCCCCGGGCGGGGGGCATATCCGCAAACGCCAGAAAATGGTCCTGGCACAGGCACGGGGGGCGCTGCCTCCTCGTCCGCGCTGGAAGACACGGTCAGCTGGCGCACACTTCGGGGTTCTGGCGGGCAGCTCCACGGGCGGCGCTGGGCCCTCGGGGAGACGATTGGTTCCTCCGCCCACTCCAGGAAGGTGTTCTTCACAATGCAGCCGTCCGGGACCTGGAAATGAGCGGACAGCCCGGGCGCCGGCGCCAGCTGCGCCCGCACACCTGATTGCAAGGCCACCCAGATGGAGGTCATGCGGCTCGCCGAAAAGGGCCCAGGAGAGAGAACGCCCGAAGCTCTGCGCACTCGAGCCGAAAAGCTCCAGAGCTCCCTAGACGGCCCGTCAGGCCCGCCTCTTTTGGAGCGGTCTTGGTGGCCTCTTGGGCCGTCCTCGGCGTTCAAAGCGGTTCACGTCATCGTTTGTGCCAGGAGCCCAGAGATTCCTGGGGATTCCAGAGAAGGCTGGGGGCACGTATACCCCTGGACGGCTGGAGGCAAATATACCGCCAAACGAACGCTGGGGGCAAATATACCACTAGACACCTGGGGGCAAATATGCCTCTCGACGGCTGGGTGCAACTATACCACCAAACGAACACTGGGGGCAAATATGCCGCTAGACGGCTGGGGGCAAAAAGCGCTACGGCATCCAGCAAAGGAATGGGCCGCATGAGGCCATCGTGGCCCGAGCTTAGCGTCAATAAGGCTTGCGCCAGCCGTCGTGGGGTGAGTGTTGGGCGGTGGGAGGGCCTCAGGTAGGCAGGAGTGGAGCGTTGAAGCGGGATGGGATGGGTTGGGCGACAATGGGAAGCCTTCCCGAAAGGTTTCTCGACTGCGTCCGCTGGCAACGCCCCGGTGTAAAAATATAGCTCGGGGAGATTGGGGACGGCTGAGGTTTGAAACATCTGTGGGGGCGAATTTCCCCCTACAGATTACATTGCGGAGGTGCTCCCCCGCCCTCACGAGCCATCCCCAAATTGCATTTTTCAACCGGGGCGTTGCCAGCGGGCGCTGTTGAACAAACAGTGGGGGGCGAACCCCCCCCGAGAGATTGCATGGCGAGGGGGGCTCCCCCACCCTCCCCAACCATGCCCAAACTACATTTTTCAACCGGGGCCCTGCCAGCGAACGCAGTTGAAAAATCTGTGGGACGCGAACCCCTCCCCAGAGATTCTATGGCGGGGGAGCTCCCGCCACCCTCCCCAGACATCCCCAAAGTACTTTTTTCAACCGGGGCGCTGCCAGCGAACGTGGTTGAAAAATCTGCGGGGGGCGAACCCTGCCCAAGGGATTATACGGCGGGGGGGCTCCCCCACCCTTCCCAGCCATCCCCAAATCATATATTTCAACTGGGGCGCTGCCAGCGCACGCGGTTGAAAAATCTGTGGCGGGCGAAGTCTCCCCAAGAGATTATATGGCGGGGGGGGCTCCCTGCCCTTCCCAAGCCATCCAAAAATTACTGTCTTATACAACTGAAAACCCCACCGCGTCATCTCCGAGAGGGGAAGCGCCAACGAGGACCACCACGACGACGACGACGACGATGCCCGCTCCCTCGCCAGGCCCGCGCGTTTTGAACACCGCGCCCGTGTACGCGTTTCCGACGAGGTCGTATGCCTCAGCACGGTGGCAATCACGCACAGCTGCACAGCCCCGCCAAGATGCGCCGCCAGCCGGCGGTGTCATGTCAGGGGCCTTCAAAAACCATCGGGGACAGGCTGGTCGCGGCACAGGGGCTGCGACAAGAGTATGCACAGAGCCCAGAGCTCATTCGGTGCGATCCCGACGCCGGATACGAGGTGGACGACTGTGCCGGCGACGACGGGCACAAAGACGAGAACGACGACGACGACGACGACGACGGACGGCGTCGGTGACGCTTTCCAGAAACCCACGCGCGGTCATATGCCTCAGCGCGGACTCTGGCCAAAGCTCACCGCCAGCAACTCACGATAACATGCCGTGACGGCGCCTGATGCCGAGGACGAATTACACTACTATTACAAAGGCGCAGACAAGCAAATTGACAGGGCGAAGTCGTGTGCCTCAAGCGTCGGCGCCGCAAGTCGGCTGCCAACAACTTCCTGCCAACAGCTTCCTGGCGCACTCGGTGTCGCGCAGATCTATCTCGTCTCTCTCTCTCTCTCTCTCTCTCTCTCTCTCTCTCTCTCTCTCTCTCTCTCTCTCTCTCTCTCTCTCTCTCTCTCTCTCTCTCTCTCTCTCTCTCTCTCTCTCTCTCTCTCTCTCTCTCTCTCTCTCTCTCTCTTCTCTCTCTCTCTCTCTCTCTCTCTCTCTCTCTCTCTCTCTCTCTCTCTCTCTCTCTCTCTCTCTCTCCCCTCTCATCCGCCCCATGGTCGCTGCCGGCAGCCCATCCTCTACTGCGCCCAACTCCCCCGGGCAAGGTGCGCAGCAGGAAGGATGACGGACGGCCTGCGCCTGCTCTAATCGGACTCACCACGAGATTTGTCGAAGCCTCGACGGGTAGTCCTGCGGCCGCGACCACCAGGCGGGAAGAGCCCAGCTGTCCTCGTTGAGAGACAAAGACCCGCGATCCCCCTTGATGGCGTTGTACACGACTACAAACGTCCATTTCCACGGCAGGTCAGATGTCCACATGCGCAGGTTGAGCACGGCGCCCGTCGCGTCCGCCAGCTTTATGTCGGCGCATGACTTCCCATTCGCCGCCCCGACAGACGGCGACACGGAGTGCGCCCACCCGACGAGGGTGTGCCTGCTTTTGCTGGGGGCTGCTGACATATTGGTGAACTCTGAAGACGCCGGCACAACGTCCGAGAACAGGTGCTCGAGACCGTCTGGGGCTGGCGACACGGCGAAGCCTGGCAACGCCTCCAAATACGGCTGGTCCACAGCCCGCGTGTTTACGCGCATCGGGCCAGCCCTCGCAACCTGGCCCTCGCATGGGCGGATCTGGTCGCGACCGGGGTTCGCTGCAGCGGCCCAGCACACGAGGGGAAGGACGCGGCTCCTTGGGTCTGCCACCCACGCCTTGTACAGAGGCAGCATGTCGCCGCCCGAGCGCGGGGCGCGGGACACGCAACTGCACGCACCGACGATGAGCATCACACCCGTCACGTCGTCGGCCATGCTGTCGACAAGCGTGTCGAAGCCACTGACGATGTACTCCTGAGGTCAGACTCCGACGGCGACATGCGCCGCCGCTTCCACGACCAACCCTCCTGCCACTGCGCATTGTCGCCCTCGTTCCACGCCCAGCCCTGAGAAGCAGCGCGCCACTCTCCCCAGTGCTCCGCCTCACTACTGTCGCCGACTGCCGCGGCGCCGCTCCCAGGATTGCCCCAGCCGCGCTCCGTGTCGCCCTGGACGTTCGCGGACCAGCCCGAGGAAGCAGCGCGTCCATGGCTCGAAGGCACTACCTCGCCGGAGCCGCCCGACGACGAAGCGCTGCTCGCCCAATAGCCGGGACTGCGCTCCCACCCGTGATGGGCCCTCTCGGCGCCGTCGACGGCCTTCCACTCCCACGCGTCCCCGTGACCCCAGCGCTGCTCATCTGACCACCTCTGCTCGGACGCGGAGCCGTCTCCAATGGCCCCCGATGTCCTGTGCAGCTCTGGTGGCGTCACTGGCGCGCGGACACCAGCTCCTGCGAGCATCGCGCCACCTCTCGGCCGGACGCCTTCCATCGGAACCTCCGTCTCCGACTGATCGTACGCCCACTTCACTGTGACGTAGCTCTCGCCAACCTCCACGATCACCGCGTCGTGGAACTCCTGCCCGTACTTCGCCTCCACCTCCGAACCGACGGTCACGCGAGGCAGCGGGGCCGCGCTGCGGGCGTCCGCAGCCTCGCCTGGAGATGATCCTGCCGCGAGCTGCAGCTGCGCATTCTCGGCCCGAAGCCTCGCCACTTCTGCCATCAACTCCGCCGCCCCCGATTCGGCAACGCCATCGGTCGGGGGCGCCTCTTCCGCGCCAGGCGCGGCAACCGGAGGCGCCAAAGTCGATGCGGGGTTCAGGGGGGGCGCTGGCACTACAACGGCGCCATCCTCTGCGAAATCAACCTGCGGATCCACGCCAGCGGGGAGGACCTCCGCCATGCGGCCTAAGAAGTGCGCGGAGCAAGAAGGACGTCCCGACAGGCGAGCTTGTTTGCTCGAGCCATTACAGCAGCGACCCATGAACTCCAAAGCCTCACGTCGAGACCGGCGACTGTGCCCCGCTCGGATTGCCAACATGAAGTGCGGGACCCATAGGGAGGAGGCTCCCGCCTGAGACTTCCTCACAATTCAACCACAGACGCAACTCCAGCTTCGTACTTCCTCGAGATTCAAGCCTGAGGAGCCCAAAGTGACGACAGTTACAGGTTTCAGGATGACCCGCTCGAATTACCAACATGATGTGCGGGACCCATGGGGAAGAGCTCCCGCCTGAGACGTCCTCGCAACTCACTCGCGGACGAGGCTCCCGTTTGATACTTCGTCCAAAGTCAAACCTGCGGAGCCCAAAAATGACGACAGTTACAGATTTCAGGATGATCCGGTCGGATGACCAACATGAAGTGCGGGACCCATGGGGGAGGCTCCCGCCTGAAACGTCCTCACAATTCACTCACAGACGAGGCTCCAGCGTGATACTTCCTCCATCGTCAAGCAAGGGAGTGAGTGATGGCGAAGTGGCGACTGAGTGAATGATGGTGGTGAATGAGTGAGTGATGATGATTGTTTTATGATGATGATGAGTGGGTGAGTGAGTGATGGTGATGATGAGTGAGGGTGAGTCATGATGATGGCGAGGCGGGAGAGTGTGAGTGCGAGTGTGTGTGAGTGCGTGTGGGTGTAAGTGTGTGTGGGGGGGCAGATATACCACCAAACGAACGCTGGGGGCAAATATACCACTAGCGGTATGGGGCACATATACCACCAGAAGACTGAGGGCACGTATACCGCTGGACGGCTGGAGGCAAATACACCGCTGGACGGCTGGAGGCAAATATACCTGCCCTTCCCAAGCCATCCCAAAATTACATGTTTCAACCGGGGCGCTGCCAGCGAACGCGGTTGAAAAGACCGTGGGGGGCGAACCCCTCTCAAGAGATTATATGCCGGGGAGACTCCCCCACCCTCCCCAGCACCCCAAAATTATATTTTTCAACTGGGCGCTGCCAGCGAACGCGGTTGAAAAATCTGTGGGGGGCGACCCCCCCTCAAGAGATTATATGGCGGGGAGACTCCCCCATCCTCTTCAGCCAACCCCAAAAGTACATTTTTCAACCGGGGCGCTGCCAGCGAACGCGGTTGAAAAATAAGTGGGGAGCGAACCCCTCCCAAGATATTATATGGCGGGGAAGCTCCCTATCCCTCCCCAGCCACCCCCAAATTATATTTTTCAACCGCGGCGCTGCCAACGAACGCGGTTGAAAAATCTGTGGTGGGCGAACCTCTCCCAAGAGATTATATGGCGAGGGGGCTCCCCCACCCTCCCCAGTCATCCTCAAAGTACATTTTTCAACCGGGGCGCTGCCAGCGAACGCGGTTGAAAAATCAGCGGGGGGCTAACCTCTCCCAAGAGATTATATGGCGAGGGGGCTCCCCCACTCTCACCAGCCATCCACGAAGTACATTTTTCAACCGGGGCGCTGCCACCGAACGCGGAGCCACCGGGGAACCTGTGCCACAACAACCTTGGAACGGCTCCAGAATGCGGAGGTTTGGACCTGCGGGCCTGCCGGGGAAGACCCAGACCAGGATAAGACCCAGACCAGAATGCCCCGGGAGAAGGAGAGGACACGCTCCCCGACGGAGCGGGGGGCGTGGAAGGTCCGTGGAGCAATCGGGGCTGGAAGCCACGCCGAAATTGCGAGCGACCTCGGCTTACAGAGCGGGCGGCGTGCGGACCGAGGTTGCACCCCTTCTCCTCCTCACTCCTTTGCACGGTTCGGCCGTCCCCCTCTTTGCTGCCGCATTTCCCTGATCACCTTAACTCGCCTGGACATCGTTTCTGGATGGGCTGGTGGGGATACTTTTTTGTCGCGACCGCAGGCGAGAGCGCCGACGGCGAATAGGGTCGAGCGGGCACGCGCGAGCCGAATTGCCTAAGCGGGCCGGTCAGCGCGAGGGGGCGCGGGCTGCAGCTGCCAGGAACCAGGCCCATGAGCGAGCGCATGCAAGTTTAATCAACTGAGGTTGGAACGCAGCCAAACACTGGGATACGCGAAGCGTCTAGAATTTGTTGAAGAGCCCTGAACGGCGTTCCCACGGCGAACGTGCTCCGCCCCAGCAGGACCCGTGGAGAATCTGCCAGGAAACCCGCGGGGCGACTCCGGCCAGAATTCGGTGCAGCCTCGGTTTCAACTGCACGCGGTTCGGACTTTCGGGTGGTCCAGGAAAGCCGATGAGGCTGGTTGGCCTGCCGGCTTCCCTGGCTGGCCACCGGGTCCGAGGGAACGCGGGGCCCTCCTCCTCCCTCCTCCCTCCTCCTCCTCCTCCTCCTCCTCCTCCTCCTCCTCCTCCTCCTCCTCCTCCTCCTCCTCCTCCCCCTCCTCCCTCCCCCTCCTCCTCCGCGGGAGCGGCGTGCCCAGCCAGCGGGCGGGGAGCCAAGGCGAAATGGAGAGCGACCTTCCCTCACGGAGCGGGCAGCTTGCAGACCAGCGCTGCATCGAGATGCGCTGAAACCCTTGGACGGCCTTCTCGGGCCGAGCGTTTGCCGCCCCAGGACCCCTGGAGAGGCTGCCAGAAAACCTCGTGGCCTGACCAGGGGGCTCACATGCGAACCCTGCCCCTGCCCCCCACGATTTCTGAAGGGGGCAGGGGTAGGGTTCGCATGTGGCCCCCTGCTGACCCAGGTTGACATGCGGCACAACCTCGGTCCGGCGAGGGCGCGGTCTGGAGCTCGCGGTGATCTGAACAAGGGGCGGTCGACGGTGCAGGCCTGCTGGCCTCCGTGGCTGGCTGCCGGACGTGAGAGACCTATAGGGCCGCCCGCCCAACAGAGGGCGGGAGCCTCTTGGGCTTGTCCCAGCGGAGAGCCCCCGCAGAGGTGCGTCCCAAGAGTCGCTAGCACGAGCCCACGCTGCCGAATGTCCCAGGGACTCGAGGCTGGAGAGTGCGAGTGTCTCCTCTGGAGCGGGCTTGCGTCCGCGCGCCTTCACTGATTTTCTTCCGCCGAGCTGCCGCCGCCCGAGGGCCCCCGGTGCCAGAAGAAGAGCAGGGCCAGACGCAGGAGCCAGGGCAGGGAATAGGGATTGTGGCACGGAGGTGACGGAGGCGAGGTGGAGGAGGGGAGGGTGGACCAGGCGCAGGGGCGAGCAGGAGAAGCTTCTGCAAGACGCCGCCAAGGCTCCCACGAGAGCGTTTTGCCTGGATGGCTCCGCTTCCTGGAAATCTTCGGTCGTATTTCGAAACAGACTCCCGCATCGCTCCCCAGTGCCCTGGCCATGTTCGCCGAGCTGTTCGATGCACTCCGATGTCGTGGAATCAGCTTGGAAATCCCTCCCTGGAGCTCTCGCGCGCAAACTTGCACTAAGTCTGGTTACCTCGCGAACCCCGCTGGAGGTGGGACGAGCCAGGGTGGGGGAGAAGCAGGTAGTAAGGACAGGGAGGGAAGCAGAGAAAGGGGATGAGGAGAGAGAGGAGACGTGTGTCGTCGCGCGCTGGAAGAGCAACTATCAAAAGAGCTGCAAGACAGAGTCGCCCGCGGCTTGCACCTTTGCACACAGCCGGGGCCTCCGGATTTTTATATTAATTTCCACTGTGTTAAGGGCGACTCACGGAAAACCCGCGCGCGCGACCGAGAAATGAACTGCTGAAGGCGAGGAAACTGAGAGCTGAAGGGATGGTGAGATCAAGGGTTCCGGAGATCAGGGGGTGAGGAAGTGAGGGGGTTGGGAAGACTCTGAAGCCTCCTCTGGCAACAGAGCTAGCTACCTGGTAACGAAATCCAGCTGTTCGAAAGCGACCGTGAAAAGGTCAAGGGCAAGGGAGGCCAGGTGATTCAGAAGTGAGCTATGGACGCTTGGCTTCGACAAGTGAGTTATCCATGTGGTAACTTTTCTGGCACCTCTAGCTGAACACTTCTCATACCTAAATGATCGATAGGCCATGTTTTCACAGTTTGCATACGTACTGACAATCAACATCAAGCAAGCATTTCCCCTTTTGATCCACATGATATTTCTGTTCTCATCGAATTCAAGGTAGGACACCTGCGTTATTATTTAACATATGTGCCGATCCAGCCAAACTCCCCACCTGACCATGTCTTCTGCACAGATCAACCATCAAAAAAGACAACCTTAGATCCAAAACTCGCTGTGGTGCAAGTCTCAGTCTAACGGAATAAGTAAAATGACAGTAAGATGTTTCCCACCCCTCCCTTGGTTGGGTACTCGTTTTGAATAGAGCACTCCGGTCGCCCCGCCTTCCCGCCCACCTCCCTCCTGCCTCCTACCTCCTCCTCGCGGCGCCCTCTGGGAGGCTGCGATATGCGCATCTGTCGCCTCCTGCGATCTTGCGCAACTGTCGGCACTTTCGTGGGCTCCTGGGAGGCCCAGCGGAGTTGGGGTAAACGCGGATCGCGTCGGGACCTCGCGGCTCCCTGCGGGGGGAGCTGCCAACTGCGCAACTGTCGGCACTTTCGTGGGTTCCTGGGGAACCCAGCGGAGTTGGGGTACACGCGGCCGCTGGCCAGCGTCTCCTCCTCCTCCTCCTCCTCCTCCTCCTCCTCCTCCTCCTCCTCCTCCTCCTCCCCTCCTCCTCCCCTCCCCCCTCTCCTCCTCCTCTCCTCCTCCTCCTCCTCCCCTCCTCCTCTCATCCTTCTACTCCTCCTCCTCCTCCCTCCTCCTCCTCCTCCTCCTCTCCTCCTCCTCCTCCTCCTCCTCCTCCTCCTCCTCCATGGCGGCGCGCGCAACGGGGCAGGAGGAGGGGGGGGACTTTTTGAAGGAAGGCCAGGTCCGGTCCGGACCTGGGGCCCGGACCTGGGGCCCGGACCATGGGGCCCGGACCTGAGGTCCGGGCCTGAGGTCCGGACCTGAGGTCTGGATTTAGGGGCCCGCGGACCTGATGTCCAGACCTGAGGTCCGGACCTGGGGCCCGGACCTGTA